CTCGCCACTTTCTTTTTTAGGAATCTATTTTTTATCTCAATAAATCTCAATGCCCTTTTTCTTTTAGGTAAGGTGCACAAACGCATTGTAAACATAGTCGCTCTTGCAGCAAATTTTTGTATTAAATGTAAGTAGTTTTAAAAAATCTATTAAAGTCTTTACTCTAAAATTAAATTCTTTTAAATTTCTTTACAGAGAGTTCTCCTAATTTAAATTTGGTAGTGATTTTTTTAGACAATTTTTTGTCGTATAAGAATGTTCATGAATTAAATATAAATTTTATAAATAAATATTTACACGAAAAATTTTGGTCCAAAAATGGGTAACTATTAAATTTAGAAAATCTTTAACCATGAAAGACATTCTTGTTTTTGTTAGATACAAAACAAACAAATAATGCTATAAAAAACAAATCTATGCTATATAAAATCACAACAAAGAGTTATAGAATCACAACACAGAGTTATAATATCACAACACAGTTTCATAATATCACAACACAGAGTTATAAAATGATGTGGCGCCAGCTTTTAATTGTATTTAGTCGTGAAAAGTATATTTTATATTAAACCCATAAAAGTTTGGTAATCTGTGCTCTTTGAAGGGTTTTTTTGACTATTGTTGACACGGGGGAGGGGGGAGGTCAATTAAAGTTGACGTCAACTTGTTTTTTTTTTTTTTGAGTTTCATTGCTTTAATAACGAAAAATTAGGCTAAGTTTGTAGCGTAGTTTCTTTGTATAGGAGGGGGGGGGATTCGAAACTTGACATAATATTATATTACTTTAAGAGTTTTGTGCAAAGACAAAGTTCAGCAGTTTGTCAAAAGGATGTTTTAGTAAATTGCAAGAAAAACATTCTGTTCAAGTTTCAGCATTTAAACGTCTGTTGAAGTTTTTACATGCACGCAAATAGTCACTCTGGATTTCAAAAGACTGGTTTGTTTTCGCTCAGCAAGATGGAAATCGAAAGACAATAAAAATAAAGCAAATCAGGCTAGGAAACAACGTAATCTTGACGTAAATTTGACCTTGATGATGAGCAGCAGATAAATCTTTTAACAACACCATCTCCAACAACAACAGCAGTAGCAAACTAAGTCAAGTATAAAAGTGTCCTAATGTTTTTAGAAAAGTTTAAGCAAGTCAAAAAAGTGAATGATATCAAACCGAAAATTCCAAATGCAAGGTTTGGCTTCGTCATACATTCCAAAGAAATGTATAAAAACACTGAGTTTTATTGCATTAAAAAGTGCCGCGCAAGTGACAACTCAACTCAACCTCTTAAGGCTCTTATTGGTTGATTTTTAATTAACATAAATGGTTGTATTTTTTAAATTAATTATTTTTTTGATAACCTATTTATTTGCACATTTCATTCCTCCCAAAAAGGAGTGTATATTGAAATATGCAGCCGTAGAATAGAATGAAAAAGGAGGAGTCGAAGTGCAGTGGTTAGTACGCTAGCCTCAGAAATAGAGATCCGTTATTCAACAAATGCTATAAAACTTACTCTCTGGGTAAGTTTTATAGCATCGATAAGAAAAGAAGCGTTCTTTCAAATGCTTTTCTGTGATAAGACCGAAAGATTTAATGGGCACCTAAATAAAAAAAATAATTAAAAAAAATTTTTTTTTCCAAATAAATCAAGTTTCTTGAAAAACTTTTTTGAAAATAAATTTGATTTTTATATTTAAATACAATTCAAAAGTCTTTACAACTTGAAAAAAAAAAAAAATTGAAATCTTTTCACCGTGATAAATAAAAACTTATTTGACCCGCTTTTACTCTTTAATCTTTTTTAATCTTTAGAAGGTTTTGGAGGTTGAATTGAGTTGTCTTTTGCACGGCACTTTTTAATGCAATAAAACTCAGTGTTTTTATACATTTCTTTGGAATAGATGTATGACAAAAAAAAAAGGCAATTTCAAACTTACTTGGCAAATTGTGTGAGAAATCATGGTAAACTAAAAATAAATCAGGCGCATTTATTGTTGTAACTTTAAGTTAATCAGACAGAGAATCTTCTCAGATTAACTTAAATTTACCAAAATAACGACGAGATTTAAAAGAGGGGGGGGGGGGGGGGAAATGGTGTAAACAACTATTGCCCGACATCTGTTTTTTCTATAAAACTAAACACGTTCAAGAAAAAAAAGAGTTGTTGCATGGTTTAAAATCCCCAACCATTCTCTTGCGTTATAACCCTATAAATTATTCAGTTTACAATCATTTTAGTAAAAAATAAGTTATGGAAATGAAATCTATGGTAAGTTTCCTTTTCTGAAAAAGTTATGAATAAAATATATGTTCTGCAAGACAAACAATTAGATTGCTTTAAGAGAAAGCACTACTTTTTTAAGTGTGAACTACAAACAATATTTTAAAATATGTTTAGAGTAAATAAATAAAATTCATTTTGAAAAAAAATTAAGAATTGTTCAGGAATCAGTCATGTGTAAAAACGTCTTGGTACTCGCCTCAGAAATCTTGTTTATTTAAATAAAAAGACAGCATAAAAAAAAGTAAACTTACAGAATCAGTAATAAACTCTCTCCAAAACTATAATGGTTTATCAATTAGAAACAATATTCATAGTTTGTATGCTATAAAGAAAGCAATTTAAAAAGGCGGAATATTTTACAATAGCTGGTGAATAGGAAAGATATTTTCGAAATGCGTAACAGTACAATTTACAAAACTTTTAACAACAAAGTAAAAAATTTGGAGAAGAAATTGAATTCAATAAACAATAAAAATAAGGCTCTGGAAACAAGAAACTTTCGAATTCAAAAAAAGTGTAGATTAAATATGCAATAAATATGATAAAGTTTTAGTTGACCTTTTGCGAAGCAAAACCTGGGCACAAAAATCCAAACAACCCGACTGAAAAGACATATATGACACACATGTGGCCGTAGTGCTTACAAGTGGAATAAAAGTGTAAAACTATATTCCATTTGATGATTGGTAAATATGCTGATAATCAATATGGCACACATAATTATTCCACTTAGTGTGATGTAATCCTTAAATAAATACGTACTAAATTGTAACCTCTAATTTTATTGCAATGCATAGTAGTAAACTCTAAAGTATTCCATGTTATTATGTGGTTTTAATAATTTTCTATTCATAGTTGTAAGTATGTTTAAGCGGTTGTGTAATGAATATAATTGAGAATTGTTTTTCAAAATAAACTTTTAATAAAATTTGTAAATCAGAGTTATATTTAACGAATAAAATTTTGTTGTTATACTTAACGAGTTATACTTAAGTTATACTTATCCTAAACAGAGTTATACTTAACGAAATAAAACTGTAATCAGAGTTATTCCAAACGAATATAAAGAATATTTTAATACGCCATGTGGTTAAAACTAAATTCTAGTGAGTAAATCAAGGTTTCGAGTTTTTTATAAAATCCTAACGAGAATATTTTAAGTGCTTAAATATTGAATTTGTTTTTAATAGTGATAACAATGATAGGTCATAACAAATTTTTCTATTATATATTAAAAATAATTATTTAATATAATAAACATAATAAACTATTTATCTATCGAAAATTATTAGAGGAAAACGAGAATAAATGGTTTAAATAAATTTAAATAACTCAGGTTTTGATTTTTTTCATTGCATGATTCATAAGATTAGTTATGTCTAAAGAACTAATACAGAACGAATTTTTTAGATTTAATTTAAGCATTCCCTTGACAATATAAAATAAACAAACGTAAAATTAGTAAAGTGATAAATAAAACATATTATTAAGGAGCAAAAAATAAAAAGTAAAAAGAACAACATTGCATGTTAAAACAACAAAAACATAAATAAATTTGAAAAGTCAAAAGTGCATTCAACTCAAGCGTTGCTAATCTTATTATACTCCTCATTTAATTGATAGATCAATCATAAGGATATTTTGCTTTTTAGAAATAGTTTTGTGGTAGATCATTTTTTAGTAATAACTGTCTAAGTTTGGCCTTGAACTCTTTTAACAATGTAAGAGTTTAAAGTTCAGATGTTAGTATTTTATTCCATGCCTTTGGTCCTCTAATTAAAATTGAAAACTCAGTTGCCGCATAATAAATTACGGGTTGTATGTAGGTATTACTTGAATGTCTAGTTAAGTATTTATTCTGATTAGTTTTGAATAAGAGATCAAAAGTTTTTGGAATAATACTTTTATTAATTTTGAACATAAAAATTAGAAGATGATAAATATTTATTTGGTAGAAATTTAGTATATTTAACTTAGTAAATAAAAGTTGGAAGGGTGTACTGCGGTTTTTATTGGATATAATTCCAATAAAAATTTTTTTTGATTTTTTTTTATTAGTTCTACACCATGCAATATTAGCGTAATTAAAATAGAAATGAATAAAAGAAAAATATAAGAGTTTTAAATAACTTGAATCCAAAAAAGTTTTTGCCCTATAGAGTAAGTACGTGACATGAAAATTTTAAATTAGTTAAATAGTAGATTGTTATATATCATTAGAAAGGCCTTTAATTCAATTTTTCAAAAAAGAAAAAATTATAAAAATTGAACAATTCTATAAAAAGTTATACTTGATTAAGTGACCAATTACCGATATATGGATTTCTTGATAAAACTGATGCAAAAAAAAAAATATTTTTTTTTTACTAAAACTATCCTAACTTAGTCAATTCTCATCAAAATCCTTATATCTTGGTATAACAAAATAGGTTTAAGAATAACCTACAAAATAATAATAACCTTGAGCAATTGGGCATACCGTGGGGGGCGGCGGGCGCACAGAAACGCCATCTTTGAGGTCAATAAAAAGAGATTTTTATTAATAAAAAAGTGTTTCTTTAGGAAACCGGTCTATTTCATATGCAAAAAGTTGATGCAATTTTATTACACATCACTGCCAAATATCAGAGGTTCATTAAAAATATGGGGTGACGTTGGGTGTTAAAATTTAACACACCCTAATATAAAAAAACAATCATTCTCATAATTATTTTTATCTTTATTTCAAAATATACATACAATAGATCAAGTTTACAAAATGAATAACTTTTTTCTACATCTTTAAAATAAAAAGTAGTGGTGTACACAAAGACATGAGAAAAGGGCGTATCCCTCCCCCTCTGACCTAAAAAAAATAATTTTAAATTAGGTTTTCTAAAATAAAAATTGCTATTATTTTTAATGTTTTATTTTAATATAAAATTATTTTTACCATATTACAATAGTAGTATTACAAGATGCATCAGAGTATTTATTTTTGAAGAAGGGAGTAGCGGTTACCCCTTCTGACCTATACAAATTAAAAATATTTTAAAATGACGTTTTCTAAAATAAAAATTGCTATTATTTTATATGTTTTATTTTAATATAAAATTATTTTTACCTAATTTGAGTAGTAGTATTACAAGATGCACCAGTCTTCATATTTGCTGAGGAAGATGACAAATCCCCCCTCCGACTAAAAAATTTTTTTATACATTTATATATGATTTCAAACAACAATTATGTGTTTTGGATTTTAGTTAATGAGATAAGTTTCCAGTAATGAAACTATATAACAATCATTGTTAACGATAGACACAACGTGAACGTAAGCCAAAAACCGTCTATCAAAAAAATTGCTAGTACCACTACTTGCTGCACATTAATTTTGCAAGTTTCACTAACTGCAAAATTCTGTACATTTATGTTGCAAGTTCTACTACTTGATGTACATATATTTTGCAAGTTCCACTACTCGCTGTAGATTTATGTTGCAAGTTCCACTACTTGCTGTACATATATTTTGCAAGTTCCACTACTCGCTGTACGTTTATGTTGCAAGTTCCACTACTTGCTGTACATATATTTTGCAAGTTCCACTACTTCCTGTAAATTTATATCACAAGTTCTACTATTTGCAGTACATTTACAACAAAAATTCCACTACTTGTTTAACGTTTATTTTGTAAGTTCTAATTCTTGCTGTATATTAATTTTGCAAGTTCCACAATAAGATAGCATAAGAAGTTACGAAAATACTAACTCACCTGATACAAAATCAGCAACAGATAGAATTTTTTCGTGCTATGGTCAACAGCTTCTGTATAAGTTTTATCTGTAGCCCAGTAAGAAATTATTTAAAAGATGCCTTTCGTTGTCTTTTTAAGTTTTTCAACTCTGCCATTATACAAGATCGCCATTGTTGAATCTGTATCATACCATTCGTGGCAGAGATTCCTCCCAACAATTCTTTCACACATAACATCATTTAAATTATCAATTTGCTTAGTATTAATATAATTTGCAGATCTTCTAAAATTAAATATATATATATATATATATATATATATATATATATATATATATATATATATATATATATATATATATATATATATATATATGTATATGTATATATATATATAATATATATATATATATGTATATGTATATTATATATATATATATATATAATATATATATATATATATATATATATATATATATATATGTATATGTATAGATATATACTATATAGTATATATATATATATATATATATATATATATATATATATATATATATATATATATATATATATATATATATATATATATATATATATATATATATATATACTATACATATAATTATGCTTATATATATTTTATTGTAACTTTGACATACGATTTTATATATTTTTTACGTTGCTCCCCCTCTGCCATATAAGGCGCAGAATTACCGACAAAAGTACCTTTTCTGAGCATTGCAGAAGTGTACTTGAGCATCGTTATTTTTCAATAAAATTTGGCAGGTAGTGAGAAAGTAGATATATCTACAATCGCATATAGTTTTAAAAGTCAGCACTACATTCCTTCGATAGTAATTTAATCAACGAACAACAACATAGTTTTTGACACCAATAAACTTGATATAAACGTTAACAACTTCAAAAAATGAAAACACTAATATAAAGCCAAACTATTCATCCTTTTAAAAAGTATCTAAGATGATACAGAATTCTAAAAAGTTATAATACAAAAAACATTTTTAGCACACTCACTCTAAATGGATTCAAAAAACGTCGAACAGTTTTTTAGCACAAATTTCGGTTCCGTAAAACGTATTTTTCCACGTACCTATATAGAGTTAAATATCATGATAGGCCGATGCTACTTGATATTTTACCTTCAATATATTTTATATTAATTCTCCATGTTACATTTTCGTCGAGAAGTACTCCTAGAAATTTTAATAATACCTCTCTTTATATTTCGCAATTGTTAATACAAAGACTTGGAAGTTTTAATGGAATTTTGTCTCGTTCATGATAGCGATGGAAAAAAGTATATTTTGTCAATTTTAAATAACATTTTTATATCATTGTGGGCATAAAATAGATTAGTATAATCTGCAAACAAGATTGCGTCATTACAAGATTTGCTTAGATCATTGATATATACTAGAAATAAGAGCGGTCCTAGTATAGATTCTTGTGGTACTCCACAAAATATATTTATGTTGTTAGTTTTTCCGTTATTAAGAGAAATATATTACTGTCTATTTAACAGATAGCTTTTAAACCATTAAAGGTTCGAGTGTTTAATACCGTAGTTTTTTAATTTGGTGAATAAAAAATGATGATTTACAGTATCAAAAGCTTAGATCAATAAATACGCCTAATGTATATTTTATTTTATCAAAAGATTTAAGAATATCATGAACAAGATTAACGATTGCCTGATCAGTAGAGTGATCCTATTTTAATCAAAATAATAAAGAATGTTATTAATATCTAAGAAATAGTAGAGTCTGTTATACATAATATGTTCTAATACTTTTGAAAAGCATGGTAGTATTGAAATAGGTCTATAATTTGCAATACATGTTGCATCTCCAGATTTTAGAACCAGCATCACCCTTGCAACCTTTAGTTTATCAGGAAAGATTCCTTGTTCTAATGAAAGACTGAAAATGTGCAGAAGCGGAGTTTTTAAATAAAATATTGATTTAATTATTATATTGCTACTTATATTATTAACTCCATTACTCTTATTTGGTTTTAATAATTTTTACAGCATCAAGTAGTTCTTTTTCAGAACTTATAATTTTCCATATGATTATTATTAGAGGTTAAGTATGATTCAAAGCTAGTTTTACTAATTTTTATATTAGAAGCCAAACTTGGGCCCGTATCAACAAACGCATGATTGAAAGAATTAGCGATTAAAAAGTCATTAGTAGTTTCACAATTATTTTTAATGAGTTTTTTGGGAAATCCATTAGTGCTTATGACTTTTTTACCACCTCTTTCATTAAGCGCCACATTTTTTGTACATCATTTTTGCAGTTAAGTAACTAATTAGTGTAATACTGCCTTTTTGAGTACTTTATAACTGTTTAGAAAAGCCGTTTGTAATTTTTATATTTTGTTTCGTTTTCATAAGTTCTTTTTTGTTCACGGCAGTTTCAGAGTGAGCTTTACGGCTTCTTGTTTTTTTTTGTGAAAATTTTGACTTAGGGGGTGTTACTAAGACATTTATAACTTTTAAAATATTAGAGATAATTTTGTTTTGTAAAAGGAATAAAAACAACAATAAAATGTTTTATCATACAACATTAAATACAATTGTAAAAAAACTTTTTTTAGTTTTTAAAAAGCGCAACAAATGATGAACTTGGTTAAATTTTAGTAATTTGTTGTTACTTTTTAGAAAAAAAAAATCAAAAAAAATATATTTCTTATAGTTATTATTATATACACTCATTGTTTAACTATTATTAAAATAAAATTTTTTTACTTAATTGTTAAAGGAAAACTAAAACAGTTTTTATTAAAGTCTGCAAGCAAACCGCATTTCTTGCAAAATTATGAAAAATGTTGTTAAAGAGGGGATTAGCTGTTAAATGAGCACGTTTTTAAGTCTAGAAGTTCTTGTTTTAGAAAATAATTAACTAAGTTGATAAATTCAATGCATTATAAAATAAAACCAGAACTCAATTTTGAAATATTTAGTCTAAACATTTTAAGCTAAAGCCTTTAATAAACTTAAGCAATTCGTTTCTATGCATACAGTTTTAATAATATGGCGTTAGGTTGTTAATAAATAAAGACTCAATTAAAATAATTCATGACCAAAACTAAGTTAAAGTTTTTAAATTAATCTCGCTTTTGGTAATAGAATTATTAATGGCACTTAAATCAATCTTTTTTCACAAAAAATAAAACATTTCTTTAAATATACAAATAGCTAATTTAAATTGTTTGATAATGTTTTTTTATTCTCATAAAAAACTGTTTTATAATGAGTTGATCCACTAATCAGTTCTTTAAGTAGAAAACGATCTTTGAACATCCAGTTGATATTAGATTTATACACCATTTTAAAGAAAAAACCGCGCAACTTTGTTTATTTTATACTTGAAAATTCATCTCGCTAAGAAAGTTTTTGTTAAATATACGTTTTTGTTTTGTTTCTACTTTTGTTTGTAGCTTGACAAATTATATTAGCAGATTGCACATTTTGTTATGATATTTTATTGAAATTTTTATTTTGTATGTCATATTACGAGATTATAATTAAATCTTGTTAAAGGGGTTCTATAAAAAGATTGCGATGACGTTCTGTCATCCTCATCTTCTTTGAGCCCCTATCTGTTTTACTTGTTTTGTTAAATTTTATATTATGTAGTGGGCTTTTTAAAATTCTTATGTTATGTAAACAGAGAAAGGAAGAAAAAAAAAAAAGTTTTTTTTATAAAATTTATTACATATTTCAGAATTTAAGGTCACGTGATTGTTTCGAAATGTAAACAATGTTTTTCAAACTAGAAAAATTTGTTTCTAAACTAGCCAAGTTTGAAAACATATTTCATAACATACCTAAAAGTACAGCAAAAAATTTTTTGATTTTTATATGTAGAAAGGGTTGAATGTTTACTAATTTGGTGCGGATTACAAAAATAATACGATTTTCATTATTTAATAATAAAATTAAAAATATAAGTGCATTAAAAAATAGTTAAAAAATAAAAAATAAGCAATCCGCACCAAAAATTAGATAGAATAGACAATTATTTATAAATGTTCCAAATTTCAACAATGAGGCATGTAGCTATGTTATGAAATCTAAGTTAACCCAAGACAGGTTTTCCGCAAAAACCACAAAAAACAGAAAAGTGATCCTAATAGACCTTTTGCCAGATAACGACGTCATTATAACTACGCATTGCATTTTGGGATTGCCTGGGAGCAAACAAAAGTTAAATTCGTAAATATCCTGTTGTTTCTATTTAGTTTTTTAAAAGTTGACCATTATTATCTATTTGGTTTATAACTATTATTTTTTTTATTTGCAACACTCTTTTGTAATGGGTAAGAGCGATCATTGTGCAATTTTTGGTTGTAACAACGATCGTCGATACAAAGAAAAGTATGTTTTGAAAGATCATATTTATAAGACTTTTAGTTTCAGCGAATTAAAATTTTTTACTTGTAAAGAGAAATATTTTTCCACATGGAGTAAAATTATTAACAGAGAAATAGTCGATCCTTTAACAAAAAAAAGAAAGCTATATGCTGTAAATAAGAATACAAAAGTATGTGCAAATCATTTTGAGTATGGGAAGCCAACTGAGCTATCCCCTCATCCAAAGTTATATTTGAAAGGATACGAAATATCTTCTCCTCAAAATAAAAGAAAATTACCAATTCCTCGATATACACCTACTACAGTTTCTAAAAAACATAAAAATACACATTTTTCAAGTACCTGTACCACTACTAGTAGCAGTAACAATAATGACAATATTCCCCAACAGTCTTCTCTGTCAATATCTCCTCCATGTCTATCATCAACAGCATCTAATCAGCAACTTTCTCCACAACAAATCGATTTAATTACTAACACACCAGCAACTTATCTAACACCAACAACACTTTATAAACAAAGTAGTCATAAAAGATTAACATGGGAGGCAGTGCGTTCTTTACCCAAAGTCATAAAATTGTATACTGGGTGTCCCACTGAAAATGTTTTTTTATATATTGTTAGTCGTGTTCAAGCTAAACATAAAAAAGTGTCTTATTTTATGGATTATAAACGTTCATTTGAACCAAAGCAATATCAGTTTAGTCCTGCTAGTAAACCTTCAAGTACAGGGAAACCTGGTCCAGCACGACAGCTTTTTGTTGAAGATGAAGTGTTACTTACTTTAATGCGTATTCGACTTGACTCACCATTACAAGATTAAGCATTTCGTTTTAAAATTTCAGTAAGTCATGTGTCTAGGATTTTAACTACATTTATAACTTTATTAGCCCGAGAACTTGAACCATTAATTTATTGGCCTGCTCCAGAAGAAACATTAAGTTTTACACATCCTCATTTTATTGGAGATTTCGTTTATGTTGAAGGTATTGGTGACTGTACTGAACAAACTATTCAAAAACCTGCTAATGCTAAAGCTCAATATCAAACATATAGTTCTTATAAAAGTAGAAACACATTAAAAAAACTTATATTTTGTACTAAAGGCGGTTCTATCTCTTTTGTTTCTAAAGGTTACTCTGGATCTTCCTCAGATCGTTTTATCACTAAAGATTGCAATGTTGCAAGAAGATTCACTCCTGGTTTTATTGCACTTTTTGATAAAGGTTTCAATGTTCAAGATTTATTTCTATCAAGGCAGGTAAAAGCTGTAATTCCACCATTTTTACGTAGTAAGCGACAGTTTACACCCTCTGAAGTGTATCATTGCAAGCGCATAGCACGTGCAAGAATACACATTGAACGTGTCATTGGAAGGCTGAAAGAATTTCGACTTCTAAAGAACACTCTGCCTATCACATTAGTCCCTCAATTCGATGATATATGGATAATTGCTGCTGCCATTGTTAACCTGCAACCACCTCTTGTAAAAGCAACAGCAGTATAAATTGTTGTTCTTTGATGTTATTTTTGAATGTTTTTTGAACTAGTTGTACCGTGTGCAGCCTGCAAAATCCTGGTTGTTACTTGGCGCTTCCCGGACCCTTCCTGAGACCTGTTCGAGAGTGGCAACCAACCACTGTTCTTTTTTTTTTGAAAAAAAGAACAGTGGTCAGTTGCCACTCTCGGGCTGGTCCCAAAAAAGGCCCAGGAGTGTTGAGCTCTCACCTAGATTTTGCATGCTGTTTTGTTTGCTCTTTAAATTTTGGTTATTATTGTGCTATTTTATGGAAATTGGTTAATTTTTTGTTACATATTTGCATTTTAATATCTTTGCAGCCTGCAAAATTCTAATCATCACTTGGCACTCCCCAGAACCTTTTCAAGACTTGTTTGAGAGAGGCAACAAACCACTATTCATTTTTTTAAAAAAAGGAACAGTGGCTGATTGCTCCCCTTGAGCAGGTCCCAAAAATGGTCCGGGCATGTCAAGTTCTGACCTGAATTTTGCAGGCAGGTGTTTGCTATTAAATTTATAGTTATTATTGTGCTATTTTATGAAATTTTGGTAATTTTTTATTTATATTGGCATTTTAATATCTATGCAGCATGCAAAATCCTGATCATGACTAGGCAACCTCTCAGACCTTTTCCAAGGCCCATTTGACAGAGACAACCAACTACTGCTCATTTTTTCTAAAAAAAGAACAGCAATTGGTTGCCCCCCTCGAGTAGGTCTTGAAAACGGTCCGGAGGTGCCGAGTTCTGACCAGGATTTTGCTCTTAAACTTTGGTTATTATTGTACTATTTTATGAAGTTTGATTAATTTAATATTTTATATTCCCATTTTAATATCTTTGCTTGCACAATTATGTATCATTAATTTTGAAAAACTGCAGTTTTATAGACAAAATAAGCTTTAATCTTCAGGTTATATTGTTACATAGATTTTCAGCTAAATTTGCCATTTGACAGCTGGTGTCAAATGGCAAATTGTAAGATATTTTGTTGACTACGACATATTTCCGTTAAATGATCAGGTCTTTAAATTATGAATAGATTAAAGTGATATATTTCGCAGTATAATAAAATATAAATGTTTGTAGCGAAAAAACCAGACCGAAAATTTTTTTTTTTTTTTTTTAAATCATTTTAAAATCACAATCGCTCGTCCAAATTTGAATAAGATTTTAAATTAATACGTTTTTTAGGTGAAATGAACATTATAGTTTAACAATATAATTTGTACTGGTCGTTAATTGGCAATTTTCCATAATTATAAGCTCTTTCTTGGTCGGAATTCTAGTATTTTTTGTTAAAATTTATAGAAATATTGTGTTTTGACAACTATATATAGTTAATATACGTCAGAACCGATTAGAATTAGTAAATTAAGGACCTTTTTCAAAGGATTTTAACTAAATTCATGTTATTGCCGATGAGCAGAATTGATCTAAAGGCTCCAAAATAGTGTTCTTTAGATTCACTATTACTGGTAGTAAAAAGGTTTTGAAAATTATATTAAAAAAAAAGTTTCTTTAAATATTAGAAAATCTTAAGCAAAAAAAGTTAAACCGTCTAAAGTTTTTAAGCTAGTAAAGCTAATAATTGGACAATTGGAAAATAAAGCTATAAATTGGACAATAAAGCTAATATTTGGACAATAAGCTATTAGAAGCTAATAAAATCACGCTAATTTCAAATAAAAGTATTCGAATAATTTGTAAATTGCCTTAACTACACCGAGTGTAGGAAGTTTGGGTGGGTGTGAACCCCACTTTTTTGATAAAAGACTTTTTTTTTTCTTTTTTAAAAATTTTGATATGGAGGACTTTTTTTACAAGTTGATGATCACGACCCCCGTCCCTCCACTTCGAAATCCGTGTCGTCAGCCTTAAACTGTATATACCTTGGATCCGTCACTATTTAACCCAATAACTATAATCCTTGCGAATACATTTTGCAGCTTCTAGTACTAGTATTTTTTTAATACTGAGGGGACCCTTGAGTTTAGGTCACAGTGCGATTGCACCTGCATAGTGCTGACTCAGCACTATGCAGGTGCAATGCGTTTTCAGCACAGCTGAGGACGCGTATGTCATGTCTTATTTCCCTGAATTTGACCTGTTTCCATGATTTAATTATTAGTCAAAATATCAATTTCAAAAAAAAAAGCACTTGATTTTTTTTTAGAAAAACGTTATGTTATTGCAACCAAATTTATAGGTCATAATAATTAAAAATAATAATAGGTCATCTGCCCACATTATGTACAAAATGATAGATGTCTAGCCGGCCAGACATCCGTCAGTCTTATCTATTTAGCTATTTCCCCTGAGATTACCTTGATTTTTCCTAAATTCAACCCTATTTCCCTGATAGTTCTTTTTTTTTTTTTTTGCAGACATCTGAAATCCCTGACGTTTCCCTAATCCCTGCATGTGATAAAAGTGTCTAGGTATATAAAAGTTTAACAATGTCAAAGTTTGTATTAAAAAAAATAATAATAAAGATATTATGCCAAGTAAAAAAATTCTAGTTTATTAAACAATCACAGATATAAATTGACATTAAAAATAAATAAAAAACTATATAATAGTGTGCTGCTAATAATTATCACTGTTGTTGATATTCCTATATTGATAAATGGTAACACTCCTATAGAGTCTTCTACTTTACGCCTTCTTGGATTACTTTTTTGCAACCACCTCTTGTGGAAACTTTTTCTCTTGTGGAAACTAACTTTGGAATTCTTATAAAGAATTCCAAAGTTAGCATCGGCTAAGGTTGTTATTCATTAAAATGTGCTCACCATTTTCTCACTCCTGATTCCTACAAATTTAATTGTCCCTGTATGGAATACTGTTGCCACATTTGGGCTAGTTCAAACTTAATTAACCATGTATGACATACTGTTGTCACATTTGGGCTAGTTCTTCTAATGATGCCCATTCTTTTAAACCACAAAACTTATTATAAATAAAGTTGGACCTGTTACTTTCTAAGCTTGACCCTGTGTCCCATGGTTGTAATATTGCATCTCTTTCTCTTTTTTAAAATACTATTGTTCCATGAACCAAATCTTTTTTTAATTATGTGTGATTTTTCATTCAGCAAAGTCACTTGGTTTAAATATAGAAATAGTGTTATTGCAGCATCAGTATCCGTACAGTAAACAGATAATTTTACAGTATCTATTTCTTCATGCTCTAAAAACTTTTATTCCTCTAGTTTTTTCTTTGCACAGTCTTCATTCAAACGCTTTCTCTTTGTTTTCTGAAACTCTTCACTGAAATAGTGGTGCTTACATCGTTGATGGTAGTGAATTAGATTTAAAAAAATCAAACATGAAAATGTATAATTTTTTTTTATCATTAGTTGTTTATTTAGTTTAAATTTTATTTTTTTTAAATCATTTTATTTTATACTAATTATTTTGTTTTTTAAATATATTTATTTCTATTTTTTTTACAATTTGTTAAAGAAAAATATCAGATAAGTGGATAAGTGTTTTTTTCTCATTTATTATTGCTGTTTTTTAAGAACATTGAGCACTCTATTTGTAGAATAGAATAACATTATATATATATATATATATATATATATATATATATATATATATATATATATATATATATATATATATATATATATATATATATATATATATATATATATATATATATATATATATATGTATATATATATATATATATATATATATATATATATATATATATATATATATATATATATATACATATTATTTTCTATTCTGTTTATTTTATATATATTACATATTTTTATTTTATTTTTTATTTTATTCTTTTTATTTTATTTTTTTCATTTAATTATTATATATATATATATATATATATATATATATATATATATATATATATATATATATATATATATATATATATATATATATATATATATATATATATATATATATATATATATATATATATATATATATATATATATATATATATATATATATATATATATATATATACATATTATTTTCTATTCTGTTTATTTTATATATATTACATATTTTTATTTTATTTTTTATTTTATTCTTTTTATTTTATTTTTTTCATTTAATTATTATATATATATATATATATATATATATATATATATATATATATATATATATATATATATATATATATATATATATATATATATATATATATATATATATATATATATATATATATATATATATATATATATATATATATATATATATATATATATATATATATATATATATATATATACATACATACATACATATTATTTTCTATTCTGTTTATTTTATATATATTACATATTTTTATTTTATTTTTTATTTTATTCTTTTTATTTATTTATATTTTATTATATATATATATATATATATATATATATATATATATATATATATATATATATATATATATATATATATATATATTAATTTTATATAGTTTTCTACAGTTTTCTTTTACAAGATGGTGGTGAGTCTTTGGACAGCATTTGGTAATTATCTGATAATTGTTTTAGTTGTAATGCTGCTGTATTTTGCTTTTCTACCTTTTCAACTTGTGAAACAAGGCTTTGGATGACTTTACTGCAGGTGTAGGTGGTTCTCACAAAATTTATGTCATATAAATATGGAAGCATAACATCGTTAAAATATGTAACTAATTTTGGTAGGCACTTTAATAAGAAATTCGGATCTTAAGCAATACGAAATGTGCAAGATTCTTTGGGTAAATAAATTTCAAAGTCACAATAATTGGCACCTGTAACAAATATTTGGTGCTGAACTTGGGTGTAATAAGGGTGATTAAGTTTGATTGCAAAACTTTCATTACTTTTTACTATAAAACAAGAAGACATTGAAAGGTATTCTGAAATAGTTTTATCTCTTGCTGAAAAAGGACATTTGCATTCTAACAAACCAAATCCACAACAAGTACAATTTATAATTCTATCAGGACTTGACC